GGTGATTTTTATATAATGCTCTTGCCTTACAAAGTGGTTATTACATTTTCGTAACAGGAAAATATATATCAATAAATGTTTTAAACTGATTAAAAAAACATAAAAATGAACGAACATTTTGTTTTGCGATCACCTTTTGAAGGTATCATGACAAAAATTGATGAAAATGAAATGCATTACTAATTCAAGGTTTGCAAAAAAAGAAACCAGAGTGTGCACTGTGCATTTGGGGCATTTTTTCCTGTTCCCTAACATTTCAGCGCTGGGCACATTTTCAAACACGTTTATAATCATGGAGAGGTTTTAAAGGTATTCTAGGGTTTCACTGAAAGTATTCAAAAGCAACTCAATTGTAGATTCGATTCTTTTAGCCGTCATTATACCTATCCATTCCTTAATGGATTGATCTGAGTATAATACTCATGAATCCAATCTGGATCTGGAACCTTAGTAAAGTGATGACTACTAAAAAGGTTGAGAGCGCAATGGTGCACTCTTGTGGATCTTTGGTAGCACAGTAACACCATTCACAACACTGTTAAACCCTGGCCCATGAGTGCTGATACGATCCACTGAAAGTTGCAACGTTTCCAAATTGGTGGCCCTTTTTAAAACCTTTCCTTAGAATTCTCCCCTATTAAAGGTAGGTAGGTAGGACGGCAGAATAAGTTTTGATAGTTTTGGAGAAAGTCGTTTAAATAGAAGTATAAGTCTTCACTATAGTCTCCAAGATGAAGCGGATGCTTCCAATTTAATGCAGTCATGTTCAAAACAGAGATATTTGAAAAAGAGTTTGCGACAAGTACGAGGTTGATGTAATTTTCAGTTTACTCCTATTATTCCGAAGACACAATACATATCGAAAGGCCGAAAGCCTTCACTTTTGGAAGACATTTGTTGTCATCCAAATATTTAATAGTCATCCTCAGAGTCTTCTTGGTCATAAGAAGATTGAAATCATATTTTTTATCTCTGTAGGAATCGAACTGATATCCACCTTCTCTCCGATCAAAATCTATACCTAACTGTGTAACGTGACGACTGACGATATTACAAAACTATTACAGAGCTTTCCGCATTACTTATTTGTTTAGAAAGATGACTATTATTGCCCAAAAGGCTTGCATTTTCGTAAGACTTGCACGATTATAATTAGCAGTAAGCTGTAAGGTATTGATACTTTGATAGTAACTGATAGCGGTCTGATGTATTCAGAGCGATTGCTATTGCAAGTAGTCTTGGAAACCGTGATGAAGCAAAGAATATCACGGTGTTACACAGCGGCAAATAAAATACCCAAAATGAAAACAACGAAATGAAGCCCTACTCAATCCTTTATCAGATATACAGATGTATTATATTATTATTATAGATGTATATAGTATATTGTATTTGCAATAATTAGTGCGAGTCCTACATTATATTTTAAATCTGCTCAATTTTAGGAACCATTGAGAAAATTCTGGTCATCATTGTATTGGTTCCCTACACACGAAATAAAGTTATTGAACTGTGTAGCATGACTAACAAGTAACTGCGTACACTCTAATCTTTGTATCCTCTAATCTGTGTACCTCTAATCTATGCACCCTCTAATCTTTTTATCCTCTACCTTATAAATCCCCCATTAAAATATCATGATCCGTGTTTAACTTAAAGTGTACTTACGTAGAGACTTGGGTTGCAGTTTAGCCTGGAAATATTGTGCACCTATTATCTGGGAACACCGCACATTCCAAGCGAAAAACCATGTCCATATACCTACTGAAAGAAGTATTCAAAACAATAAGGTTTGTTAGTTCAGTGAATCTAAATTGCACTTATCTTATCAAGAAATATTAAATCAATCAAATTCGAAAAAATGTATGTCGATCGACATTTCTATTTATTGGCTGCAAGTTAAACAAAGCATGTTTCTAAATATCGAAACAAATTAGTAAAACAACGTCGATATATAAGATACATTGACAACAGACAATTATGTCTAAAAATGTATTGACCTGATTAAAACAACTATAAAAATGAATGCTGAATTAATTTGTACTGTCATTATCATGATAAAAATTGACAAGAATGAAATTTTTGGTACAGTAATTAAAAAAAAGTATAGTAATTAAAATTTTACAGGTGAAAAAAACAACAAATAAAATGTACAACTTAATGAATAATCCCATGCGTGTTAATTTACAAGTCCAAAGGTAAATAATGAATTAAGAAATAAAAAGCATAATTTATCGTGAAAGAGTACTGCAAAATTCACATCTAATAGCTCTGAAGTCGATTCACAACATGAGCTACTTTGCACTTTTGTAAGGCTCATATTGATAATTCAGCCTCCGTCTCAGTTGTCAGATTTCTCCTTTATTGTCAGTTTTCCAGCACTCCTGAGCCAGAGGCCTCGTCGACAGTTGACCAATCAAAACTCTGATACAGATGGTCCGCTCGCCTTATTGGGATGAGTTCTCCAGAGAATTTAAGAAAAGTTGAGTCGTTATTATTCGTGAGCTCAACAGGGATCCAACCAATGTCTAACGTTAGCGAATCCGCTCTATTCGAAACAGATTGACATTTTTCTCTTAGGGTCTTCCAAGAGCGACGACGGCGTCCAAGAAAAACCGTCTTTAAATTACGACCTGCGTTGTTGACGAGGTCAAGCAAATGTTCATCAGTCAAAGATTTGGAATTCTCCATTGATAACTCAGTGAGCTGCCTCAAACCGGGCAATACTGAAAAGACGAATAACTCGTAACCAAAATTTGCCTCATCGTACATAGGATACTCCCAGTGTTCATCTCGATGACATTTCACACTTTTGTTGACACTGAGCTTTTTCAAATTGCTCAAGACATGGAGTGGTAATAAGTTTTTGGCATATAAACGACATCTATCTAAGATCAATTCCTCCAGAAGTGGTACCTTATCGCATATTTCAGTGATGAGATCTGGTGATTTGCCAAGATTGCAGTTCAAAGTGATGTCTAGAACGCGCAAATTGGGCAAAAGAGATAGAACATTCAGAAGATGTATACTTTTAAAAGTCGTTGTAAATTCAGAGTTAGCGAGATCTAAATCCGGACTGTCTTCAAATGCCATGTCTCCTGAACGTTGTCGGTAAATTTGACCAGTAGTTGGATGTCGGGGTATACGTTTACGAACCTTTTTTTTGAAGCCTTGGCAAACCAGTTTACTCATTTTGCCACAGGTCCTAGTGTTACCTCCAGATGCCACACCTTCAAAAATCCCGTCGATTCTAGAAATATCGAGATGCTCTAATGTCTCATGGTAGTCACCAAGCAGAAAATCTAACGCAGACTTTTTTCCTTCTGCTTCCATCCTGATTAAAAAGTTCTTCACTGACGAATCTACGTGGTTTCCGAGCTTTTTCACCAATGTCGGACTCGGAATTCTAGTAAGATTCTGACAGTCAGCGAGGCAAAGCACTCTGATAGGGGCATCCACAGGAAACTTCGGAAGCACAGTTACTCCATTGACGACACTCCGATAATTTGAGATTCCATCATCAGGATCAGGATATACGACTGAAAGATTAAGAGTGTCCAGTTTTGACGCACACTTTAAAATTCTCCCCAAACAAGTGCCGCTATATACAAAATTTGAAGGTAAAACTAAGGTTTTTAAATTTGAAGCGAACTTATTGTTCAGTACCCTTGAGTAGTACTTCCGATAACGACAATTAAGACCTTGAGGACCCTCATATATTAAAGCATTTATGTTGGGACAAAAATCTGACAGACGATCAAGCTGTTTATAATTGAAACTTGGCTCTTCACAAATAGTAAGATGAGTTAAATTTTCCCTATTATTGATAGTATTGAAAGCACGTATTTCCTGAAAATCTTCCACAGGTCGTGGTTAACAGGATATTCATTACGATGTTCAATCAAATCATCGTAAATGGTAAGTGAACTTCTGGTAAGTATTGATCTTGATTCGCGCATATCTTCAATTAGCGTTTTAATGCTTATTTTTCTCGTAGACGCCACAGAATATGAGCATAGTTCGGACCATCTTTTGCAAACAGATCGCAGCAACAACCTTTCCGGAATACTACAATGAGAAAAGACTATTCTCAAACAGTCATCGTTCAAAAGAAAGACGGTATCGTAGTTCTTAGGGGAAATGCTTTCCTCTTTTGATATCTTTTCAGCCGGATGCTCATATGAATCTTTGCCTTCTTTACTTGGCACACCGCCGTGTTTATCGTTTTTATCGCTGCTAACGTCGTCCTTTATATCACTCCTTAATTCTTTTTGTTTGCTCTCACTTTCGCTTATTTTCCTCTTTTTAGTTGGTCGCCCAAAGTTGTTTTCATCTGAATTATCCTTGCTACTGTATCCCTCACTTTGTATATTGTTTTCAGATTTAACGTTATTTTTACTGTTTTCATAGATGTCATAATTACTAGCTACATCCTCGTCCAAATCACTATTTTCTTCGGCATTCAATGTAAGGTCAAAATTGCTTTGTTCGTAGCTAGATTCTTCATCGTCACTGTTGGTTTGATCATCACCAATCTCATTGTTGCTCCTTTCGTGGTACCCACCTATGTCTTCATCACTACTCTCATCGTATTCGGACGAATCTTTCTCGCCATCGAATCCACAATATGAATCCACCCTCTGCCAGGTTAACGGTAATGGAGGCTGTCCTCTTGCCCAAATTGGTATTACGTCTAAGAAAGCCTGTACAACATAAGTAGAACTATTTAACTTATATTCTAAATGAAGATTAGAGTTCAAACTGTGTAGCCAGTAATGCCCTTTTCTGAGTCACATGTTTCCCCATTCTTTCAATCCTGATGCAGTGGACCATAGTAAATTGTCATAAGCTTACCTGCGAAAGAGAGATGGTTGTAAATAAAGGTGAAACGATTCCAAATTTTTTTGACTGAAATTAAATTGGCTAATTATCTTTAAATTGATTTTTATTTATATTCCAGAAAGCAATTCTAACAGGAGTCAATACGCTTACGCAAATACTGATTGTAAATATTTGTAGGCAGAATTTATAATATTGGCTCACAACATTGCATTGAAACAATCAAAACATCAAGAGCTTTAATATACCACGATCTCAAATCTTCAAAACAACAATATAGAATTTCCTTAAACTATGAAAAATGGTCTATCTGTGTTCAATTTAGCAACCTAAAAAATTAACGTTCAGTCCTCATCCTCACTACTGCTGTAGTCGCAGACCAGCGTTTTGTCGAAGTTATTCCGCCCTCTGCTACGAGACGACTCGATTTCATTCGCTTTCTGTGTCTCTTTTATCCAGTCTGACACGTTACCTGGGATCGTGTTAGTTAGTTACGGATATGCTTAGATGCTTTGGCGTGGTTAATAAAACAGTATAGGTACAGTATGTTTAAGGTAAAAGTGATACCTCAAATTTCGACACCACCAGCTGACAAATAAACCATTCAAATGAATACATTTCCTTGTTGCAGTTATGGTAGCGATATGTTAACTAAATTTATTTCGTTATGTGAGATCACTACCTGCTGATATAGGAGCGGTAGGGGGTGGTGGGGGTGGCATCTTCATGGTGTCGTCATCTTTACTGCGCCTCTTTTTCGAGGCGTTGAACTGAGCAGATTTACAAATAGCCCACATTTTAATATTTAAAAGGTGATCCAAACATCAAATAAGTGTATTTTAAGACAGAAGATTACAGAAATATATACCCAGATCTTCTTGATGATTACTCACATTTTCTTGGAAACGTCGTTTAGATTGCATCCTGCAAAATAGATAAAGTTAAAGAGTATATACTACATAGTGTACCGAGATAGCCTATATTTACAACCACAACACCAAGCATCTAACATGCCATAATATGTAATTGGAAATCAAAACAATGAATTTATAAAAGTTCTATCACCTGTCTGGTCTACTGTTAGAAGAATTGGAGTTTGCATGAGGAGCACTCCTACTGTTGAGGACCAGATTGTGCCTCATAACCTGCTTCTCATTTCCTGGCACTCGGTTCTGCAATTGGAGTTTTGGGTACGATGCGGACTGTGCTCTGACATCTGGACGCGAGGTATTTTGAGATGAACCAACGGGTGCAGACATGGCTCCAGTTCTATGAGTATTAGAGGAAGTTTGCTGATGTTGACTGGGGTAGACTATTGCTCCGGCAGGAGAATTTGGGGAGTTTGGCTGTGCGGATGTAAACCCATAGGTTTGAGGTGATGCGCTGCTTCGTTTGTCTCTTATCTTTTTGTGTACCTATTTGGCGATTTTTTGGCTGGTGAAATGTGCCATCCGTGTTACTCTAAAGAGGTCGTTAGATAAATGGTGGAGAGCAATTAACGATATGAGGGGACACATATTGCAGGTAAAATTGCGTACTTTGGATAATTGAGCGGACTCAATTCATGAACGAGGAAGGATTTAACAGACGAAGCTGAAATTCTTCGTCAAAAGTATACAATTAAATCGTAAATGTGTGTCCAGCTTATCATACCCCACAAGACAAGCGTGTCTAATGTTAAATGTGACAATAACCTGCAGCTGCAACATTCATTATACAAGGAAAGTTTCAACTAAAGTATAATTTTAGTGTATTGTCAGCATTTTAGATTAAAAAGTCATGGTGTGGGGTATGATTAGCAATATATAATTAAACTTCAGCAGCAAAGCTCTCGATGCTTCACATTCTTGCAATATCAGAAAGAATTGACTTGATATGTAGCATTGAGAAGCTTTACAAGCATAAATCTAGAAAAATGTTAGAGTAAGGGTATGGAAATTCGCTCTTGTTTCGCCAACGTATCCGTGAATCGTTTCGTCGCTTTTACAACAACGACTTCCACTGCAACTATGTCTACACAGAGGTCAAACTAAAATAAAGGGTTAATATGTAGTCAGGTTTTCGTACTGTAAACAGTAGACTGTCGACCAGCCGTTTCGCCTCGACGAGACCTTCGAGAGTACTGTGACTGAAAATAGAGAGAAAAAGTGTGAGCAGAATCATCCGAACTGCACCTGGAGTTGGGATATACTTGAGTGAAAGAATGCATGACCTTGCATGTTGGGTGGACTGAACTTCTATCAATTAAGTCTGATTGAAAGGAAAGGGGTAAAATGATGATTTGGTAATGAGATGCAGGGTACCTACTTTATCTGGATGAAAAGTGGCTCTTTTTGTTCCCTGCCCGTTTCTGGTTCCAGATTTCCAGATAGCGTACCCCTCATTATTATCTGGAAAAGAGAGTGGATCAAGAAATGGTAACTTCCTTGAGTGTGGCGATCCAGTGGCGTAACGTTGCCTGTTGGCGCCCCCCTGCCGAATAAAGCGCCCCCCTGTTGGCGCCCCCTCCCCTTTTGGTGCCCCTCCCTAAAATTGAACAAATTAGGTGATTTTAAAGAATACGCCGGTAAAATCTCTAAAAAAGTGTGTATCTAGAGCAAAACGCGCAGTTTTGCTAGTACTTTAGTTAAGTTTTCGAAATTGTCCCACATTCAAACGACGATTTGGCGCCCCCCTAAGACGGCGCCCCCCTGCACAGCGGGGTCAGCAGGGCCTTTCGTTACGCCACTGTGGCGATCACAAATTTACAACCACGTTATTCAGGCGCTAAAAGATAACAAATCTACACCGCGCGTAAAAATAACTTTTGTGAGAGCTGCTAAAAAAAGCAGAATCTATGTAAAATTTGCGTCACGCGTCCCACAAGTGTATGCATCACTCTGTGACCGGGTCAGAAGAGTGCACTTACCCTCGCTTGTGTTGTCTTGACTATGTGCCCAATAAACTGCCCGTTTGGCCCCTCTATTTCCTGTTTAATGTTCCAAGGTAGAGGCTGGTCTTCCATATCGCAGTATACTTTTTCAACAAACGGAACCTGAAATAAAACGATGTCACAGTAATACGTGGGTTTATAAAGGAAAAAGACCACAAAATCACAAGTTACAATGGAATACATTATAAAGTTTGAGATTCCACAGACCGTCGATTCCTCGAGATCCCTAGCGCAAATTTCCAACAAGATAGGATCAGGGTATTTTTCCAGCTGGAATCCCTTTGATCCGGATGGAACTTGATTTTGTTTAAGTACTGCCAACACATAGTGTATTGCTTTCTCTGTGCAGCTCCAATCTTTGTTCACAGCTTAAAGAAAACGGTTGTTAACAAATATCCTGATACATTTTCTTATCCACATTGTAAACCAGGCTAAATTGTGTTTCAAGATAGTTAATACGAAGTACATACCAGAGATGTGGATGTAAAGTGGCCGTTCTAACTTAGTCATAATGTCAGTCTGCCTGTGCCTAGGAATGTATCTGCCCCGGGTTACCAGCGTTGTGCCCGTCCACTGTCCGATCTGAGGAGGGTTAGATGTCAGTTGAAAGGATAGTCCCGACTGATTCACATTCAAGTTCAAAGAAAGTACTGAAAACAGCCAGACTCTAAAATGTGTACCTGATCCTGAATGTTGCTCTTCAATATGAAGCCTCGGTTGTCAAGATCATTTATTTCTATCTCTGCACTGTGTACTACTGGCATTTGCTGCTGTTTTGGTACTGTCTTCTGAAAATATACTCGTATAATAACTAAAAACCTGTAAAGCTGTAATTTACCTTATACTTAAGGCCAGAGGGGGGGGGGGGTAAAATTGGTTTTTCCAGTTTTCACATATTTGATCAGAGCTGCTAGAGACAAACAAGAAGAAAAAAACCGGACCGAAATCTGACCTTGCGTTTTTAAGATATCGCGCGCCAAATATTATACATTTATCACATGCCTTCTCATGCGATATCAAAACTTTCGCCCACGAGGCTTGCCGAGATAGCGAAAGTTTCGATATTTCCCGAGGCTTGCCGAGGGTTATATCGACATTTTCAATCACGAGGCTTGCCGAGTTTTGAAAATGTTGATATCGCATGAGAAGGCATGTGATTAATGTTTTATCACACTTTCTTTGGAGCCAAATTTGGCCGGGAAAGCAGAATTTGATCAAACGTTAGTTATAAATCTCACCAAAGCAAACTAGACATGTCGAACTTATTTATGTTTATAATGTCCAAGCTATATATAGCTCTCGATCATGAGTTAGTATTTCAGATATCGAAGATACAATACGTACAATTAAGATCTCACGTGCTCATCACATTTATGACACAGTGAATGCTGTATGCCGCGCCCAATTTGCTTTATACAGATAAGTGATACGTAGTGCATTGAATATTAATATATTTATCGAGAATGGGACTTGTACTTATTGGCGTCTAGAATATTCCGCCACGAGCGCGTTTGATACGTAATTATTACATCCTGCAAATCAATCGATGTTTGGTGATTCTAATACTTTATTTCTATTAGATATTTTTGGAGTCATAAAAACTGTAGATGTATGATGTATAGAACATCCGTTGATTCTACATCACAGTCCTTATCGTATAATCTGTATCTGCGATAAGGTGAAAGAATTTCCTAGTTCTTGTATTTGAATAGAGCTGTGGGCTATTTATCAGTCCACATTATACACTACACACCCTAATTTACATGAACAATATCATCGTCCGTCTTGATTCTTGATTGTCTGTTATTTCAGAATGATTTAATCAATGCAATTTGTAATCGTTGACTTAGAATTTTATCGAGTATAGTAGCTACTTAGTTCTTAGTCAGTATTCATCTTTACTTGCCATTATTTGCCATTATCTGCTTCGCTAGAAATCATCTGAACTGGAAATTATCAGAACAGTTGTAATAATTAAATGTATCTCTTCAACATTTTAGAACGCAGTACTCCACCAGCCTATAACCACCCTGGTCATGGCCAGGTAGTTCACCCGTACTGTTACCAATATTGAATTGGTCTAAAGAATGGCAGCACATTAATCATCGGACCTGTTTGCCCCAGTGCCCAGACTGATTTATAACCAGATTAGCTGATTAAGTTACATCATTCGTCCCTTGATATATTTATATAGATAATATATTTTATAGGATGTTTTTATTGCACTTATTTGCACTAACTAAAATTCAAACTGGTCCTGGGATAGAATTTTCGCTCTTTATTGTACAGAATCTATAAATCTCTTTATCAGTCTGTTTATAGATCAGCCACGAATTTCGCAAGCTAATCTAGGCGAAACCGGTTTGGAAAAGCCAAGTATAATTTCTGCACAATTTCTATATGGAATATGGCTCAAAGAAGGGATCAGAGGGGTTAAAATTGAGGTCTGAAATGGCTGAAATCTGGCTTTGTTTTGTGTGTTTTCTTCGTTCGAATTAATCAAACATCGTTTAGTGTTTACTGTTTTTTGTGAGGGTGACTGTAGTTTGTTCTGACACTTCCTTTTTAATTTCAAGTAAGCGATTAAGGAAATTAATTAGCCTGATTGATTGTATCGCTGACAAGTACCAAAACTTTGTGCAACTTTTAAGTCTGCTTGTAAACTTTGATCTCGTTTTCAGTAACCTTAAGTCATTTAAGCTCGTACAAGCCAGGGAGTTTTTACTTAGTTTCATCATCCGAAGCCTAATTAGGCTTTGAACTATGAAGTGCAGTAAAAAAGGAACAGCTTGAAAAAGTTTTACAACAAAAAATTTTATTTCGCTTGACACATCTCAAACGCAAGGAAATATTTTTAAAACCAAGTATAAATATAAATTTTTCCTAATCCTGGAAAGATTATCTGATCATTGCATTTACGGTCATAGACTACTTCAGGTTGTTGATTTAAATCTTTATTTAAATCAGTACCTCACAGTAGTAGAACAGTTGTTGAGAGTGGGCTCCTTGTTCCTATGGGAATATCGGGCTCTCTCTGAGCAACTGATCGATATTTCATGCCCCCGGGTGAGAGCCAGTGCTCCCCATGGGGGCATGTAATATCAATTCTGCTTTCCTGCCAATTTTGGCTCGAAAGTGTGATAATAAGGTTTACATGTAATTACATGTAAAATTTTAACTTAAACTGTAAAAAGGTAAAAGTCCCTAAGTTGAGAAGACTGGCTACACCCAAGGCCTGAAACTTGGCACAGTTGTTCCTTGGGCTGTCACCCACAATTCTATTGTACAGAATTTTGATATTTGCCTCTGTTCTCGAAATATGAGGTTAACTTTACCCCAAATTCGACAATTTTTTGAAAAGTGTCGAATTTAGGGTAAAGTTAACCTCATATTTCGAGAACAGAGGCAAATATCAAAATTTTGTACGATAGAATTGTGGGTGACAGCCCAAGGAACAACTGTGCCAAGTTTCAGCTTCTGGGTGTGGCCAGTATTTTCAACCAAGGGACTTTTAACTTTCTACAGTTTAAGTTAAAGTTTTACATGTAATTACATGTAAACCTCAATATTTATCGCGCGATATCTTAAAAACGCAAGGTCAGATTTCGGTCTGGTTTTTTTCTTCTTGATCGTCTTCAGCAGCTCTGATCAAATATGTGAAAACTGGAAAAACAAATTTTACCCCCCCCCCCCCCCCCCTCTGGCCTTAACAATTGAAAACTTTTACTGGTTGATATCGTAAAAATAGAGATTTGTTTTTGGATTCACCTGCAAACAAAAATGTATTCTAATCACCTGATGTCCCTGTTTAGGTAACAAGACTTCTTGTTTTATAGGAACACCTTTAGCCAGGAGCTTTGCGTTTATCTCGGCAGCTTTCCGAGCAGCCATTTGGGCTGCCGCTTGTTTCGCTCGGCCCGACATTTTCTAATGGACCAGTGGTTAAATATCGAACGATTTTTGAAGCTAAATAAATATTATTAACTATTTTACCAGTGATTTAATGTCAAACCAATTTTTGAAGCTGGATAAATATCGGATTGTGGGTAACCGTGTGATTAATTTCCAAGTGAGACTTAAAAACTCAGTGAGAATGAAATCAAACACCTTTTAACCCGTGGCAATAAGTTAGAATAAAATGATATACGTAACGTAACCAACTAATAAATTAATGAAAATCGAAGCTGCAAAAAAAAATGCTAAATATTTTTAAAATCATATTTATATAATAAAACAGTGGACATGTCACATCTCTAAAACCCCTCCACCATAAATCTTAGTCAATTAAAGTACGTCGTGTAAGCCAAATACACGACAATACTATCGGGACATATAAAAACGGACTTAAAAATGTTTAAAAAGTGAACTAGGGGAGATACAATCGTGTCAATCTTCCGCCACTTTAATCTTCTTTGTTGTTATCTTTGCCTCTTTATTTTTCCTTTTTCTTTCTTTTCTCAAATTCTTCTTCTCCTCGTCAGTGGAAAGTGTAAAATATGATTTTCCATCAGATTTCTTCTCCTCAGGAATAGTAACTACAGCAGCAGGGGTTTTTTCTGTTCCACTTGGAATCTTGCCAGTAACAAACGGACAGTATCTTCTCTTGTGCCCGGGCTGCTGACACCTGACGAAAAAAAATATTAATAATAGTGTCATACAACTTATACAATAATAAAACATAAACCTACCACAGACTCGATTTGTACGTGTGGTTCACATGTTATAACAAGAGTATAATAAGAGTCACCAAACCAACGAAATGAATAATAAAATAATCAAATAAATACTAACCTGTGGCAGACAGATGGAGATTTACAGTGATGAACACTAGGACGACACCCCTCACACACGTCACAGTGAAGATAATGATCTCTAACACATCTCTCACACTTGACACAGTGCTTAGTGGTCCTGTTTATCGGAGGGCAACACCCACACTTGGTGCAGTGTATCACCTCTTTGGGTACCCCAGACTTGCACTTCTCGCATTCCTTATAGTTCTCATCTGGGAGGGTTATCTCAGATAGGGGCTGGTCAGTGTGGATCCTGACAGGAGATTTGGTGCTGTTGTTTTTCTTGAATACAGGATGGTTCTCATACTCCACCATGAAGTGGCACATCTTAAGAGTAGGCTGTACTTCTGTGATGTGCTTCGAAAGGAAATGAGGGAATATCCAGTAAACAACGATCTCAGCCTCCGGGTTTATTTCCTTAACCAAGGCTTTTAGTTGGTCTATATTGTTACTGATAACTCGTGCCAGCGCCCCAAAGGGAGGATCCAACACCAACGCCACTTTCTTCGACTTTTTCAAAAACATCCTCAGATACTTTTCTCCTTCCTCTTCGAAGAAGAAGTTAGAGGCCATATTGTAGTGCTGGAACACAGTTGGAGGGTAGAACTGAATGAACCTGTCATCTAGATCAAGTAGCATGGTCTTTGGTTTCTTTCCTGTACTAAATATCTCGTGGATACGAGGTGTCCCCAGACAAAGCAGATGAGAAAACTTCTTTTCGGTAATCAGTTTTGTGATGAAGTCAGTGGTTTCAGGTGCGAACAAATACTGAGCATTTCCTTCGTTGGCAGTAAGAGCGTTCATCAGAGTAGAGGGGTTTGTAACAGACTTGTAGTTGGTCCTCTCAAGAGTGTGATCGGTGTGCAACCCAGGCTCGTCTGGTTCAACAACAAAAATAGAGCAAGTCTGGCAGAACTGCATATTAGCTGCCGTTCTGATGGTCTGAACTCGGGCTGATCTCTCGGTGTTGCTCACGAACCACTTCCTTTTCTTTCTCTCTTCTTGGAATATATTCAATCGTTCTTCTAGCTTTGTTTTGGACCAAGGCTTATCCAACAAAACGTAAAGTGAGCAGTCTTTTCTGTTTCTATATGCACTGCAGGCAAAAAACTTCTTGTGTTCATCGTCTCCCTGAGCAAAGCGCTCAAAAAGCAAAGCTGGACCATGTACACAGTGAGGTGCGTCAGCAGGGGTCGGAAGGATTACTTCCACCCCAGTTCCCTCTCTGCCATGTTCTGCTTTTATATGCATACCTGATCAATATATTAGTTTTATTTTATCAGCAGCAAAAAAACCTAAATAAGAAGCTGACAAGGAATCATCACTTATTATAGCATTAAAATCGTTATTTTATACAGTGTAAACTGTAAACTGTAGTTTTATCTTATTTTGAAACGAATAGAAACGTTTAGTTTTAAAATCATCATTTAAGTATCTACATGTACACCAAAAATACTGTTGAAATATCAAATTATACGAAGTCAACAAAATCCAGCATATTCTATAAGGACATTGCCTGAAAATCAGGAGACATAGCAATAGAAGTTTCACCAATGACATTATCCCAATCTTCAAAGTTCTCGGATATTTTATATTGTCTGAACTCAGACTGAAATTCATTTGAACATTCCATATCTCTAAAATATGGCTGAATAAATTTTGAAGTTAAATTAAGTAAGCAGCTTTTAAAAGGATACTCCTCATTTCCAATCAACTGAGTTGAGGGAAGCAACATCCGGGAATTCCTCTCAATAACAGGGGAACACGCTACAATCTCGTACATATTAGTGAGCTTGTTGAACATTCTGAGAATGTGCTGATTGCAATGTTTTAAGGGATTCAGTTTACAATGAACTATGAGATGTAGATCTACCTTGTCGAGGAACATTTTGTATTCTGAAGAAGAGAAAATTTCTTTGTGTCGGTAACAAAACATGTAAAACAGAGACTGACAGGCAGCGTAGAAAGCTGTGTGATTACATTTTACTGAAATCTCATCATTGTTCGAGATGTAAGTGTGGCACCAGGTAGCAGTTGAGAGCATTATCTTCTTCAAATCGCCCTTCCCAACTGACGCTGACCGATTTGTAAAGCTTGCTAGATACATAATACCACTTTGTCGTATGATGGCTGGCTGGTTTCTATCAGCAAACACCGACCAAAAATAATCGAGCACCACCGTCTTGAGACTGGAATGAATGTTGAAAAAGTAGAATAAAATGAACGGCACATTTGGAGGAATGTGGGCTTTGAGAATGTGTGCATCGAACCCTAGAAGTAGGACCTTGCACCATCGCCCCACATTTTCCTCAGAAGTGTTGTCTCTCATGTACTGTAAAAACTGTGACAGAATCACGTCCAGTTTTTCCGTTATTTCATCATCAGATGACCTCTGGCTTTCCTCGAACGAAAAAAGTTCATCTTTCTCGACAGCAAATGGGGACCGGGATATGTCAACATCAATCTTTATCAATCTTTCGTTGATAGTCATGATGATATCATTGAAATAGGAGGGTATCAGTTCACCCAGTTTCAAAATGTTATTAATGTAAGCCTGATGATCCAGCAAGGGCTTGGATTTGTGAGGAAAGTTCGACAAGACTTTTTGCTGGATGAATTTCATGTAAGTGGGCATATTTTCAGAGATAAACTTAAGAAGCTCTAAATTTGTACCATGAATAATTATCTTCTCATCATTGTCAACAAGAGACAGATTTCTGATAGATCTATCAATAACCTTATTGGTATAGAAAGGCTGAGAACTGATCAACGAAATTAAAAACTGCTTAGTGATCCCCCGGAATTTGCCATCTAGTTTCTCCCACTGAAAACTGGTTATCTCTTGAAACACGTCCTCACAATCCTTATCAAACAGAGCTACCACCATGGTAAGATTCCGCAGTATTGCAAGGTACGTGTTCTTATCATCTGCTGAACCGCTCGTTTTGAGAAGGTAGAGAAAGGCACGGTAGTTTATATCTTTGACCTTTTTCTTGTCTTTGATTATTTGAGCCAGTCCCTCGGGTGAACAGTTGGCCAGGGTAAGTTTCTTGAGGACCACCGTGGACATGTTTCATTGGCTGACCCTGAACAGGTTTTATATTAGGCTTATAATAAGTGTGTTCTCTTATAAAGTTAGAGGCTATCAACAGAGCCGACAGGTTTACCGCGAACCCTAATTTGAATGGCTGATTCTTGAAACTCAATTTGCTTAATAACTACCATGTGTATCGTACCTCAACCTGTTTGCTGATAGTTGCATATATCATGAACATTGGGTTTGAAATTTATTACGGAATAATATGGCTAAAATTCGAATTCACGGTTTTCTATGAAGTTTAATGTTCAGCTACAGACTACAGTACTGAAGGCACCCCTGCAGATTTCGTCGATTTCAGGTGCCGTCGGCACCATAAAAATTAAAAGCAAACATAAATTTTTCCCCTAAAATCGAACGCTTTCTGCGCAAAGAATTGACCTCAACAGAAAAAAGTAAGTTACATGGCTTCAAATCCAAATTTGAACCAGAGATTTTTCACTTCCTCTCGATAAACTCAATTTTCAACCCAAAATAAAGTCTCAAAGGGATAAATTACTCAGGTCAGGATTGTAGGCAATGATTATGCCAAACCATACATTTTTGTAAATTCATTAAACTTTCAATTTAGCTTAAAACACCCTATTTCGCAAAATTTTTCCGGGGGGCTGCGCCCCCCTAGCCCTCGCCAATGGGGTCCGCCCCTTACCTGGACCCCGCTGGGGGCCGCGCCCCCAGACCCCTGCCACAGCTTGCAGCTTCGCTTGCCGACAGCCCCCCCCCCCCCCCCTCCAAAGAAAAATCCTGGCTACGTGCCTGAGCAAAATATAGGTTTAGGGCTTTTCAGATGATTTGGCTCCTCAACAGATACCGACGTACATAACGGTCAATATAATATGTAGTTTAGGTTTACCTGGCCAGTAGGTTACGAATGTGCCCGAGGAGGAAAAAAAAAGCAAACTTAAGAAAATTTCTCGGGAACTTAAAAGTTCACCTCAAAACGAAATCTGCACCTATGACTGAAGGGATAATATTGTCTGAATATTCATGAGTTTGAACTACCAATCAAGTTCATCTCAGCCATCTAATTTGCAGACATCAAATACGCAATATACGATTGTTACCACAACCGATCACATTATTGAATGAACTAAATACACACAGTGCCATGTATAAAACTTGCAGTATAATACAAGTATAATACTTGTTTAACACAGTCAAAGCTAACTTTAAATTCACAACACAAGCTTTGTTACACGACGACCACTAACAGTGATCATGATTTGATGTTCCAGCTCGAAAGTAGAAAAAGTAAGCACACTCCTGCTATATTCTTTAAATCTTCTCAAAATTCTCATAAATATTCTTATATCAGCTGCCTTCAGCTGGTATCATCAGCGGTGAAATATTACAGTTGTTATTCTCCCAGTTGTTTAAATGGTGAAAACTTTATTTAAAACTTGTTCAAGAAACACCAGTAGATTTATATTTGATAGTCAAGTCGGAAGTGTCGCTGAGGGTGGTGCCCTTGTCGAATATCTTGTTGAGTGTAGAGCTGACAAGCTTTGTGTGAGGACTCCGCTGTTTGGTCGTCTGGAGACACTGCGCTCTCTCTATATTCATCAGTCCTATCTTCTTAGATTTTAACTTGTGCAATACCTGAGACATGTGGCTCCTTAATTAATCATTAAATAAAATTTCCAAATATCGAATACCATCGTCGATCGTGTATGGTATTGTTGAAGATCTACGTTTTAAATAAAATTTGACAAGAAATGAAATTTGTAACCATGTTGTTATATGCGTACGTGTGCGGTGTGACTAGATAAGAAAAGCTGAGATGGTTAAAAATAATTATACATGACTTTAATATCGTTACTACTAACATCACTATTCACTATTTATATACAGTTAAATAGAAGCTCACCTGAATTAAATGTGGAATGGTGATGTTAGTTTTGCTGAGATTCCTCTCCTCACATATACAATCTGCCATCTTGTACGTTCTTTCGGAGTTCCTGGATACATTTATAATTTAACTTGGAGCCCATAACTACTTCTACTAATACTACTACTACTACTACTACTAGGACGGAACTAAGTCCGATCTACGCCAGATCACACCTCCACTTTATATCCATGTCCCGCATCGGGGTTTGCAGTTTAGAGTTTGTCCCAAATTCCTCATAATACTATGTATATTTCACAGTCAGCTGTAGTTTTGGGGATTTGGTTACAATGTTTTACGTGCTCCGTGATGAATGTTATTTTACATTGATCACGGATTTAAAGTTTCGTTTACACATCAAACAATCTTCTGACAATTAAGTGTGTTCCTGCACATGTTCAGTTATCAGGCTTGATATCCGTTGAACCAACAATAAAGTTTATAAATGTAATGACAGCAAGGTAGTCGTGCCAAACTGATGGTTCCTAGTATCTGATAAGAAGATATAAATAACGTTCTCACCACAATTTTATTATCTAATTTATTCGGAGCTTCACTTTTCATCACCCTACTCAATTTTAGACAGAATCCAAGACACTTAACTTATCTATACTTTGAAAAAGTTGGATGATAACCACATAATGTTTTGATAAATCTTATGGTCGAATGTTCTATTTCACTGCACTTCATCGAGTAGGCGATCCCATAGTAATGAAGGGGGATGACCTCTCAACCTTATCAGCCTGAGAAGAGGAGAATCTGTCTTAACAAGTGCCAACAAGATGCTATATAAGAACGAGCACTTGTTGACGGTAGCAATTTTGTTGCTAGAGCCAATCTGATTGACACTGTTTTGTGAAGTATAAACTTTTCCTCAAGTACAGTTATGTTGCGCCTGATCGTGGTTTTTGCATTTGCTTTGGTGATTAATATGGCCACAACTGAAGAGCATGATGAGGTCTGTGATTGCCTTCACTGCAGCCAATGCGACATTAATTTAAGTCATTATTCCCCGTAAATAGTGTTAAATAAATGCTACAAAATCCATGCATCCAGAATTTTACAGGCCATCTTTGGATGCTCTAATTTGTTAACTGCCTATTTAAAGGTATAACAAGTGGTATAATACATCTCCCCAGGAACTGTTGAACCGTGCGAGGCCGCCAAAAGAGGCCGAGGAGCTACAAGATTTGCTGGTTGTGTCTATACAAAACATTGTGTCTCTGAACGACCTCGTCACCCAACTTACCAACAAAATCGTTCAAGTCATGCTATCGTAAGTAGAACATCTTGGCAATACGTAGTTTTATCATTTAATCATGTATTCAGGTATTTATAATAATAAATAATAATAAAATTTGGTAGCTTAAACACAAACTCTAAGCCCAGTGGATAAACCACAAAACTTATGCTCTATTGTGTGAAACAAAGATACTACTACTAGATCAAGATAACTATCAAGGAGTGTATGCTAGGACATAAAAAGTTTTGGAACGAAGATGACATGCTTATGAAGCGAGCTAACAGTCTAATACTTTAATACACTATCATGAATTATTTTATATGCACAATGTTGGTTTGTAAAGCTTTAATAACGACTAAGTTGCAATATTATCAACAACAACAAAAATGATAACTATGTTTTTATCCCTACTCATATTGCAGTGTAGCTGAACGTAAAACGGAGATCGAGGTTTTGAAGAAGTCGCACTCGGAAGCCATTACTGAGCTGAGGAATAAGATCGATAATGTGGAAACAGAACAGAACTCAACACTGACAGCATTGGCTGATGATGTACGGGCAGTTACAGAACATTTCACCTCAACTGATGCTGCTATTGAAGAAGTCAAAGAGGATCTATCTCTGATGTCAAGGTATGTTGCCTTAGAGCCCAAGATATAGGTTGTGACAGTATACCACTGTGAACGAATGGAGTTTATATATAAGGAATAACACGTGCTTTAATCAATTGAATCTAATTTAATTCATGCTAGGAGAGTTCTGCAAAAATGCAGATGTATTGACGACTGATATATTGAAATATATTATTTTTAGGGAGGTTACAATTGTAAGTGCTGAGGATGGAGTGAAAGATCAGAGGTGTGCTAAAGTATGCGCAGGAACAACAGGTAAAGATATCATGTGAATATTTAGCTATTTGATAGATCATGAGGTACGAATTGGAACAAAAAAGTAGCAGTTGCAGTGTACGGCAAAAGCTATGTAAAATTAGGAGATCGTCTGAGAAGCAATTTACTGCATGATCTGATGAACAAATTTATTATATTTTTAACCAGGTAAGAAGACAACGAATTGGGTCAACTTCAGCTCAACTGGAATCTATACAGATGTGGATATGAGCGGGTGTGGTTTCGTCAGCATTCCCACAATCACAACATCCCTTGACGGAACAACTGCTCACTGGGACACTACTGGCAGCTCAGAAATCTACAGTAGCACACCCACCTCATTTCGGATATACATTAAAACTCCGAGCGCTGATCGGCGTGGCCGGGCTAATGAATATTCATGGAATATTGAGTGGGTTGCTGTTGGCTTTACTTGCTAGAGACAGTTTGCAAGAATGATAAAATGCTGTAACGACGAGCAATTGAGCTTCACAAGAAGGCAATTTAGACTATTTTAATATTTAATGCTAATATTTTTCACAACAATATGACTCTTATTATATGTTTCCTTACAAGTTACTATTATCTATCTTTTAGACGAACATAATTATACTGTAGCCATTAATTTCAGAAAAGAGGTTTTAATATTCAAGTCGATTGGACGATTGCTGAAGATCTTTATTAAAAATAATGATTCACTATTGTTTACTGTAGAAATAGTATTCTTTTTTTTTTCTTCAAATAACGACCTTGAATTATCAAAAGTTAAAAAAGAACGATAAAATATTAGCAAAAATGTAACTAACCGTTTACTAAGTACAATTAAACTGGGTAGTTGCTCAACACTATCAGTCGGATGTGGCTGGTTGAATCCAAAAGGAATGTTGTGCTCGTCCATGTGATATGCTTTGCATACCTTTGTGCAATCCGTCAGTATCTTCTGCATATACATCTGTGATTGAAAAGATTAAATCTAAGAATCGAGTTTGTAATGTATGCAATCAATTGTCATTAACAATAAGTTTACGTATTGACTGTGAAAGTCAAAATAATTATAAACCTAAGAGCTATTATATTAGTTAACAAGTTATGAAATTATCAACAACAACAAAAAAACTTGAAGAGTAGATAGTACTAACTAAGTTATTAGTAACTAAGCTGTTTTATTAGTCACTAAGATATGAAATTATCTAGAATAAACTAACTTGAAGAGCGCTCTTTATCAGAGGCACAACATCCATGCTGACGACATCTAGGTCATGTTCCCAGGCCCCTGTAAGACATCTGCTGGTTATGGTGTCTTCGTCTGGTAAAACTCTGTCTTGAACCGCCAGACCAGCCCTGCCAGGCAAAGCTCGAGCCTCAAGTGCTCTCTTTCTCACCAACATGTGTCCCTGATTCTCAACACAGGAACCGTTAATGTTGAGTGGTATACCTGTTAAAGTTAAATGAAATGGTAGGACTCATTAAAAAAAATCTAACACTTACATTCCAACAGCAATATTAATTACACGGGTGTTACCAGCCAATTACAGGAAACCGAAGGATTCAATTATACATTAGGCTGGTGACGGTTAAGGTAGTGTGTACCATACTTTCTTCGCCTGAGACTTCAATGCAATGGACAGCTCCCCATTTAACCCTCACACCCGATTTCTCGAGCACTCAGGATCCTTAGCTGAGCATAGACGACGCTCACCCCATGGCTAGAGACAGAGCGGGGAATCGAACCTGGTACCTCGTGAAATGCCAGGCCGATTTACCAACTGAGCCACTAAGCAAATAAATGTTCATTGTTGAATTCAGGCAACCGAAAAGAAATAGTTTGATGATACATTGATACACTATACAGTACCTAAATGCATTTCAATTTTTCAAAATTCAAACAGTAATTGTTCCTAGCGATCCAAGTTATATGATATTTAGAAGTTTTTTTTTTTTAATTTCATTTCGAAAAGGATAAATGGATATACGTAAACATGATTTTAAATTAAATTATCATACCTCTTTTAAACCCACGATGGGTCTGCTGACATTTTAACAACAAAGCCAATACAAACTCATTGTGGACATGAATATTTGTATCACCTAGCAGCTCTTTGGCTATCTTATTGAACTCATCTTTGCTTATCTGAAAGGATGAGGGGTTGTCCGAAAATTGGCTAAAATATAAATTTACTTGTTTTATCGAACTACATGTGATGCCATTAAAATAGGTAAATTTTTATTCACTTAAAAAAAAAACTTTTTTACTTTTTTACTAACAATAGAAAAGCTATGGAATAATATGAAATGCCATATCATTTTGATATAAGATCCTAGATGTGTATAATTGTCCTAGCTTTCAAAGTGTTGATATGATGCCAAATCCTACTACCATGGTCCATGTTACTTCTTAAAAAGCACTGAACTGGATCCTTTTCAGCAGAGCTTTAAAGGTACAAATTTCTTATGATATGCACTTGAACTGACTGCCAACTATTAAGCATCCGCCTATCATGTACTTACACAATTCCTCTTTGACTGCATCACATCCATGTCCGCTGATCCTTACAACAACATGAACAGACGCATTAACTATCTCAATGAATTACTTCTCAAACTGTCACTCAGAACTCCAAATTTCAAACTCTTTGAGAACATATGTTTCGGACTTCCTCACCTGTCACGTGACGGCTTACACCTGAACCACGCGGGGAAATCAGCAATGACTGACTGCTGGGTACACTGCATACTGCTAGCACTCGGCTTTAGACAAGGACCATTGCCACTACACCGTCAATTTATTAGTATAGTTGAAGAGTTTTACTGCAAATGAGTGTTGTAACAAGATATTATCATGTACTATGAGATATGAGCTAAACATCATTCTGAATAACATACCATGAGATATGAGCTAAATTTTATTCTGAACAACATACCACTTTTAATCCCAGAACTTAATTCTATGCTTGCCACAATCTCGCAACGAAACAAAAGAATTACCAAATCTAAGCAACTAATTCTCATCTTCATTTTGGAAAAATAAACATCGATAAAATCGCTTATCTTATCTTATCTTAGCTCAATTTTTCGTTATACAGTCCTTGATTAAACTTAAAAAACTTTAAACTTAAAAACTTAAACTTAAAAACTTAAAACCTCGCCACACAGCTGCGTTCTTCTTTATACATTGTACATTACACACTACACATTGTACATTACACAACTGACAGTAGACGACTAACACAACTGACAGTAGACGACTAACATTAGACTAACATTAGATTAGCGGTCGCCCCACCCTGTACAGTGTTTACATAATTTCGAAGTAAAAGTAAAGTTTTCTCATAGTTAAGAACAGAACAGTTAGAACAGCAGGAGGTAATTAACTGCAGGAGGTATTAAGGTATAGGTACAGGAAACTAGGAAATCACGGGCTGATTTACAAACAGGGCTGAGCAGTCCTCGCTAAACAGTCCTGATAGGATTACGTGCTATATTAATACTATACATCATATCATTTTATTTTTACTTTTACTTTTACTTTTACTTATTGTTCATCTATGAAACCATGTGCGAGTTATGTAGACCAGATCAGGCCAAACCACTGTGACAAATGTGAAAAACGGGTCCCAAAGAACCACCCTCATCTTTACTGTGCACTGTGCGAACGATTGAAACATTACAAATGTGAAAAGTTAACTAAATTAGAAGCCGATGAACTTGCTAAAACTTATTGGACCTGCTACGAATGCCTTAGTAGTATTTTGCCAATAAGAGCCTGCGATGAATGTATCTTAGATTCGCACAATACTTCAAAAAAATACAAGCAGCAATGTCACAGTTGTCTGGGCTGGTCTTACTCTTCAAGAAATGTGAGAGAGTGTGATTGGTGTGAACTAGCAGTACACAAGAAGTGTTATAGATATGAGCTAGGATGCGTCAAATGCTGCGTAGAAAACATACCTGGTTACAGCACTAGCAGTATAGATCTAAATGATGATTATAACTCCTCCTCAATCCGGCACACTTACAACCCTTACAATAAATCCAGCCTCATAAATTCAATTGGTAACCAAATAGAGGAACTTGAGCACGACTCCATGTATTGGAAAGATCTTAGTGAAATGCTAACAAGATGTGAGTACATTCAACAAGTCCATATCTCACCATCAAAAACCAATGAACTAAAGGTATTCTCATTAAACGTACGATCTTTACACAAAAACATAACTCATTTCCGTGAAGAAATTCACACGTATCTAAATTACGATATACTGAGTTTCAATGAAACAAACTGCGCTCTAAGTAAGCTACCTAACGGTATTAATGACATACTTCTAGAGGGATTTCATGAGCCGATAATACAGGAACCAGCACGTGCATCTGGCCGTGGGGGTGGACTGGTGTTATACGTAAATAGACAGGTATGTACAGAGGAGCAAATAGAACAGTACAGGCCAAACTTCAGCTGTGAGGAAGAAACAAGTGGTGAATTCCAATTTATAAAAATCCACAACTGCAAAGGTTTTAACAAGACCAAGCTACTAATCAATGTTTACCGCTCACCATTGCGTAATGTTGATAAGTTCATGAAACTGCTAGATAATGTACTTAGAAGCCTAGACAGGCACTCACGTAAACACATTTTATTCACGGGTGACTTCAATATTGATCTTATAAAATACGATAAGGACGTGCACAGTCAGAACCTTGTTGCAACTTTTGAAAACTACGGTTTCGTTCAAATGATTTCAAGGCCCACCAGAATTATAGACCACAGTGCAACACTCATAGACCACGTGTATTCTAATGACATCAAGAACACGGCAAGTTGTCAGGTGCTTACTCTACACGTATCAGACCACCTAGCCACCCTTACTACGCTTCTACTTGGGGACAGAGAGGGGCCATGCGGGAGGGTTACAAGTAAAAAACCAAGTATGAAACAGGCACGGAGATTTGGCGAAGCTAACAATGCTAAATTTCAAAGTTTGATCGAAAGTGAGGACTGGAGTGAAGTGAGTTTACACGAAAATTGTGAAGTACAGTACGAAAAATTTTGTGAGATTTACACCAAACATTATGATGAGGCATACCCCTTGAACAAATCCAGGCCGCGGCGTAAAAATGAACGAAGAGATCCAAAACCTTGGATTCTTCCCTGGCTAGAGGATGCGTGTGCGCGAAGGCATGAGCTCCACCACCTAAAAATTTCAACCAAGGCCAATGATGAAGGGTGATGAAGCGTATGAAAAAATTGAAAAATTCTGCAACAAGCACATTGACTTAGCTAAAGCAAAATATTATAAGAAATTTTTTGACGAGCATTGTGAGAACTCTAAAAAGCAATGGCAAATGATTAACACGCTGTTGAACAGGAAGTTGAAAGAAAAAAATTCTATAAAACTGAAAGGCGACGACGGATCTATTATCAGCAATGGCACCGATGTTGCAGCAAAATTTAACAACTACTTCTCAAATCTTCAAATATAGCTTCAAACATTAAAGCACAGATCAGTGCTAGACAAACTTTTGATCCTGGGGGTTTTAGTAGATATCTTAGGAACCCAACATCGAATTCGATGTATCTTAGGCCGGTAACACCAACTGAGGTGAGTGAGGTGATTCTAAAATTTAAGAATAAGTCAACACTGGATACCAAAATTGGGCCGATGAAAGTCGCAAACCATGATAGCAAGTTCACCGGTGTGATTTCTACTATCATAAACTCATCATTTACACAGGGCATATTTCCAACTGCTCTTAAAACTGCACGCGTAATCCCTATCCACAAGGGAGGTAGTAAGACAGATGTCACTAACTATAGACCCATATCTCTTCTTAGCTCATTCTCAAAAATTTACGAAAAGTTAATGCACACTAGAGTCATTGAATTTCTTGATAAAAACGGCTCTCTGTTCGAAAGCCAATACGGCTTTAGACCGGGGATGTCATGCGAGCATGCTATTCTTAATGCACAGAACTCTATCCTTCATTACCTTGGCAGGAAACAAATTGCAGTGCTCCTACTGTTAGACTACTCCAAAGCTGTCGACCTACTTGAACATAAAATTTTGCTTAAAAAACTGGAACACAACGGATTTAGAGGTATAGCACTAAGCTGGTTCGACTCCTATCTTCACGATCGTCATCAGTTCGTCACAGTCAACGGGGTTGATTCCAGTCCCAAGACGATCAATTATGGTATTCCTCAAGGCTCTATTCTGGGCCCCCTACTCTTCGTCATCTATATAAACGACCTCCCCGGAATCTCAGACCTGGCCAAGTTCATACTTTACGCCGATGATGCAAACATCATAGTCACGGGCCATAACGAGGAAGAAATTCAAAGTAAGCTCTCTATGATTGCAACACTTCTAGTGAATTAGGTAAGTAGCAACAGGCTTTCTTTAAACCTGAAGAAGACCCACTATAACGCTTAATGTGAAGCGTTTACTCTTCCCCCTCGGCAATTAATTAGAAAGTTAGATTAATGACAATAATTGCCAAATGACGTAGTAGATATAGATGTTCAATGTTGTAGAGTGATTTCAAGAGTAGTGGTCCACAGGGGTCCGGAAAAGCCGTACAGGCACTTGGGTCCTTATCCTTGTCACTAGTCCCAATTGGATTCACTTTACACAAAACATGAACGTTTACAATTTAGACGTACACATTGGCACAATATTTATTAGAAAGCAAACAGTATTAAATAATACGTGCGCCGCATAACAATTTATGCGTTTAGGGGCTGGAGTACGCGTGTTTACAGATTAATGAATTGTTGCATTGTAAATATTTAAAGTTGACGATATTTTATGATTTATTAGTAAATTTTTCAAAGCTGGCTTTGGACTTAGGTAAAATTATAACTTATTTATTTTAAAGAAAAAACCACGGATAGTTTTAAATTTACATAGTCGTACAACTATAATCAAGTTAATCCTGTTTTCAAGAATGCGCGGCTTTGGCGGCCAGTTATTGACTTGTACATAAAATTGAATTTTAAATAGAAATGTGAATGTATTAAAATTTAAAACTTTCAAAACGGAGGCTTATAAATATTATTATAGTATGATTGTAAAATAAAGGATAAAATTTTAAATTTGTTTCACTAAAAAAATTTGTTTCACTATATGGTCTTCAGTAACCGTAAAGTAGATTATTCCAAAATAAGTCTCAACATATCTGGAACAAACATTGAACGGGTTACTGAGGCACGGTTTCTGGGTGTTATAATTGATGAGAAACTAACATGGTGTAAACATATCACAGCGGTAAGATTAAAAATGAGTAGGTGCATAGGCATCATGTTCAAATTAAAACGACATCTGCCCCTAAAAGTGCGACTACAACTCTACCATAGTTTTATTGAGGCACATGTTAACTACTGCTCGTTAGCCTGGGTATTCGCGGCAAAATGTCACATTGAGACATTATTCCGTAGACAGAAGCAAGGAATGCGGATGGTTATGCCAGGATATGTAAATTACTTTTACAAAGACGGCAAATTGCCAGCTCACACCAGAGAAGCATTCTGCAAATTTGAGATTTTGACAATACACGGCATCATCGTAAAGAATGCGCTTACATTTATGCACCGCATGAAGCACTTTCCTAACACAGTACCTGTATCAATTAGAAACTTGTTTCCAGATAACATACCCACGCATGGTTCAAATCATGAGAACAGTAGCGAATGGCTAGATACGTACAATAACCAATGTTTCAAAGCATCCATCTTTTTTAAAGGACCTTTACTAGCTCTAACAGACACCAACAAGAACATCACGTCCCTACCTAGCTTATTTTCAATAAATATTTACAAATCGAACGCAAAACGCGTGCTTCTTGAGCAACAGTCAACACTAGCTAACTCAGAGGACAGCTGGCCAGCATTTCTGCTACACAACGTACCTGGTTTGAGGAAGTCCAATAGATGAGGGATGATTGAGTAATACAGCGACCAATAATCGCTAAATCATGACATCATATCATAACATAACATAACATAGGACGACAGCAAACACACAATAAACGAGCAGTAATAAACAACGTTCGCTTAATGGTCTGACATATCTCAGCATATTTTTCACTGCCAAAGCGCTGATAACAGCAAGCCTTACCCCACTCCGCGCGGCTTTTTAATGCACAAAATCTTAAAGATAATTCTCGCGATAAAATTTTCATTGTCACGCTTGAAAATTTCTAGAAATTAGAATAGCCGTATATTATAACAAACTATAGCAAGCAGAATTAAGAAATAAAAAGTTCTGGGACTTAAGTGGTACAAATAAAACGAAAGGCATGCTAATCATGCTCACGTACTGTAATGTGTCGAGAGTTTTCTTTAAAATTTTTACTATTTGACAAAATAATTGATCTTTTTAGTGTGAGTGTGATTTCAACTTTGAGTTTGAAAATATTTTGAAACGACTTTCGATATTATTGATTATTATATTTAATAAACTGTCTCAAAGCCCTTAGAGGTGGCTCTATACGGGTCTTTACAACAACAACAACATTATTCCGAAAGTCTGTTCAGTCTAGTACCTGATTTTTATACCACAGTCTGGTGGTTTTCCAATATCGCTGACTGTTTGATCCAAGAATATTTTCAAGGTTTTCTTTCGGCTGAACCAAACTTATATCAGAAAAGGTCATAACCTATAAGAGAAGAGTTATAATATAATTTTATTTGAAAATTCAATCAATTCCTACACATATGAGAATCAAGCGTTATATTTCAATCGTTATGCAAATTCAATGAAACAAGAAATTAACAATGAAATAATTGCAAAATTACATTGATATTATTTTGATGTTAAACTAAATTAAACCAGTATTTTAATACTTTCAACACTACTATATAACAAATAATTTGAGGACCCCGAAACTCCTGAGTTACATATCTTACAAGATTTTTCATCTGTCTCCATCTTCCCAAAAGAATGGTAGACTCCGATCAAAGCTCAGGGGGGCTGGACTCCTCAAATAATGTCTTACAGGGGCAACATGACAACAATGGTAATGATAATGACAATGATGATAGTGCCAGCCCCCAGCCCCCTTGTATTGTTGTGAACGATCTACGTATGTTAGCTGCTGATGGAATCTGCAGAAACTGCTCGTCCGATACTAAAGGAGAAGTGTTATGTTGTTATGGGGGGGGGGTGTCATGTCCGTCTATGTCCGCCTATGTCCTGTCCTTTTTGGATTCTATGAGACAACAGACGTGTTTTTTGGGACATTAGCGGACACGGACGGACATTGGCGGACTCGGACGGACATTGGCGGACTCGGACGGACATTGGCGGACTCGGACGGACATTGGCGGACTCGGACGGACATTGGCGGACTCGGACGGACATTGGCGGACCCGGACGGACATTGGCGGACTTGAATGGACATTGGTGGACATTAGCGGACATTTGTGGACATTAGCGGACAAACATTTTGAGGACTGAACAGTACTGAAGAGTACTGAAGAGTACTGAGGAGGATGGCTGAGGAGGATGGCTGAGGAGGATGGCTGAGGAGGATGACTGAGGAGGATGACTGAGGAGGATGACTTAGAGGGAGGAGGAGGAGGAGGAGGAGGACCCATAAGGAGGACCTAGGAGGAGGAGGACCCAGAAGGAGGACCTAGGAGGAGGAGGAGGAGAACTGAGGAGGATGACTGAGGAGGAGGAGGACTCAGGAGGAGGACTGAGGAGGACTGAGAAGGAGGAGGACTGAGGAGGATGGCTGAGGAGGATGGCTGAGGAGGATGACTGAGAGGGAGGAGGAGGAAGAGGAGGAAGAGGACTGAGGAGGAGGAGGAGAAGGATGACCCAGGAGGAGGAGGACCCAGGAGGAGAAGGACCCAGGAGGAGGACCCAGGAAAAGGCCCCAGGAGGAGGAGGAGGACTGGGGAGGAGGAGAACTGTTGAGGACTGATGAGGAGGACTGAGGACGAGGAGGAAGAGTAGGAGGAGGACTGAGGAGGGGAGGAGGAAGAGGACTGGGGAGGATCAGGAAGACCCAGGAGGACCCAGGAGGAGGAGGAGGAGGAGGACCCAGGAGGAGGAGGAGGACTGAGGAGGACTGACGAGGAGGACTGACGATGACTGAGAAGGAGGAGGACTGAGGAGGACTGAGGAGTACTGAGGAGGATGGCTGAGGAGGATGGCTGGGGAGGATGGCTGAGGAGGATGACTTAGGAGGATGACTGAGAGGGAGGAGGAGGAGGACTCAGGAGGAGGACTCAGAAGGAAGAGGAGGAGGACTCAGGAGGAGGACTTAGGAGAAATGAGAAGGAGGACTGAGGAGAACTGAGGAGGAGGAGGAGGAGGAGGACTGAATAGGAGGAGGAGAAGGAGGGGGACTGGGAGAGGACTGGGGAGGAGGAGGACTGATGAGAAGGATGAGGAGGAGGACCCAGGAGGAGGACTGAGGACCCAGGAGGAAGAGGAGGAGGATGAAGAGGAGGAGGAGGACCCAGGAGGAGGAGGACTGAGGAGGAGGACTGAGGAGGACTGAGGAGGACTGAGGAGGATGGCTGAGGAGGATGACTGAGAGGGAAGAGGAGGAGGAGGAGGAGGAGGACTGAGAAGGAGGAGGAGGAGGAGGAGGACTGAATAGGAGGAGGAGGATGGAGGACTGAGGAGAAGGATGAGGAGGAGGACTGAGGACTGAGGAGGAGAGGAGGAGGATGAAGAGGAGGAGGAGGACCCAGGAGGAGGACCCAGGAGGAGGACTCAGGAGGAGGAGGAGGACCCAGGAGGAGGAGGACTGTTGAGGACTGATGAGGAGGACTGAGGACTGAGGAGTAGGAGGGGACATTAGCGGACACGGACGGACATTGGCGGACTCGGACGGACATTGGAGAACTCGGACGGACATTGGCGGACTCGGACGGACATTGGCGGACCCGGACGGACATTGGCGGACTTGGATGGACATTGGTGGACATTAGCGGACATTGGTGGACATTAGCGGACAAACATTTCAAGGACTGAAGAGTACTGAAGAGTACTGAAGAGTACTGAGGAGGATGGCTGAGAAAGATGGCTGAGAAGGATGGCTGAGGAGGATGACTGAGGAGGATGACTGAGGAGGATGACTGAGAGGGAGGAGGAGGAGGAGGAGGAGGAGGACCCAGAAGGAGGACCTAGGAGGAGGAGGACCCAGAAGGAGGACCTAGGAGGAGGAGGAGGAGAACTGAGGAGGATGACTGAGGAGGAGGAGGACTCAGGAGGAGGACTGAGGAGGACTGAGAAGGAGGAGGACTGAGGAGGATGGCTGAGGAGGATGACTGAGAGGGAGGAGGAGGAGGAAGAGGAGGAAGAGGACTGAGGAGGAGGAGGAGAAGGATGACCCAGGAGGAGGAGGACCCAGGAGGAGAAGGACCCAGGAGGAGGACCCAGGAAAAGGCCCCAGGAGGAGGAGGAGGACTGGGGAGGAGGAGAACTGTTGAGGACTGATGAGGAGGACTGAGGACGAGGAGGAAGACTGAGGAGGACTGAGGAGTACTGAGGAGGATGGCTGAGGAGGATGGCTGGGGAGGATGGCTGAGGAGGATGACTGAGGAGGATGACTGAGAGGGAGGAGGAGGAGGACTCAGGAGGAGGACTCAGAAGGAAGAGGAGGAGGACTCAGGAGGAGGACTGAGGAGAACTGAGGAGGAGGAGGAGGAGAACTGAATAGGAGGAGAAGAAGGAGGGGGACTGGGAGAGGACTGGGAGAGGACTGGGGAGGAGGAGGACTGAGGACTGAGGAGGAAGAGGAGGAGAATGAAGAGTAGGAGGAGGACCCAGGAGGAGGACCCAGGAGGAGGACTCAGGAGGAGGAGGAGGACTGGGGAGGAGGAGGACTGTTGAGGACTGATGAGGAGGACTGAGGACGAGGAGGAGGAGTAGGAGGAGGACTGAGGAGGGGAGGAGGAAGAGGACTGAGGAAGATCAGGAAGACCCAGGGGGAGGAGGAGGAAGAGTAGGAGGAAGAAGCATCTAAATGTTATTTCCATTTTTGTCCGTTTTTGTCCATTTTTGTCCGTTTTTGTCCGCTCTATTTTTTGTCCGTTTTGAAAATATAGAGGTACCGAACGGACAAAAACATGATCCCCCTATAACAGCAAAAATTGAACATTTTATTTAGCATTTAGGTGTCCATTAATGTCCGCCTATGTCCGCCTATGTCCGCCTATGTCCGTCTATGTCCGCCTATGTCCGCCTATGTCCTGTCCTTTTTGGATTCTATGAGACAAGCGGACATAGACGGACGTGACACCCCCCCCCCCTGTTATGAATGTAAGAGCAATTTTCACGCTACTTGTTATGAAATGAAGGACAATAGACGTGTTAACTTTACTGATAATGTATGCTCTCCGTCCTTACTGAAATCTTTCAATGCTAACACTGAATCAAAACAGAAAAGTAAACGTTTTGGAAATTTCCTCTTCCATTGTGACTCTTGTGTTACATTAGAAAACCTGAGAAACGCTGCTGATTTAAAAACCCATGTGCACACCCTTGAAACCAAAATGTCAAAACTAGATGCTGACATAGTCACCATAAAAAATCTCTTGTTAAATCCTGCCACTTTTCATGGGTTAAGTATGGCAGCAGAAAACAGTTCTACATCACCGACCCTCCCTCCAGTTAATAGTATCCCTGAACATGGCGTCCACAGTAGCGTCATTGAAAATCCCTGGTGTGACAGCAACAGAGTAGAAAAACTGAGACACCCAGCTTCAGTAATAGTCTCTGATGCAGGAGAAAAAGTTCCATTATCTGACCTAAAAACTATTATCACAGAAAATAACATTTTTGTAGATAATACCTTCGAAAACAAGAAAGGTGAGACAGTTATCACTACATCTAGTCAAGCTGATCGAACAAAGCTAGTTAATTCTATCTCCAAAAAATTTCCCCATTCTGCTCTCAAGCAACCTATAAACAAATTGCCTACGATATCCATCTCAGGGATTAGAGATGAAATCACACCTGATGATCTCTTTGAAACCATTATGAAACTTTACCCTGACATCAAGTCCCTCATTGATTCTGGTGAGACATTCTCTGTACTCTCAGTGCGCAAACAAAGAAATCATCAAACAGAGAAACCACTGTTCCAAGCTTCTGTTAGAGTGAGCAATGCCATACGGAAGTTGATAGAAAATCGTGACAATTTCCTATCAATAAGACTGTACCGCTGCAAGGTATATGATCACTTTTACATCAAACGATGTAATAAATGCCAAAAGTGTTATATATTGTATTATTACTATAATTCATATTGTTATATTTACTAATCATATTTACTAATCAATGAACTTCCCTAGCCTCTTATGGCTAGTTCCAAATAGACTGTTCCTTGTTATATCAACTGGCGACGAGATGGCAAACAAGTTGGAGAACCTGTCACTAATGGCGGACGTGAAAAGTTGGTTAGAAAGGTTTGATTTTCACGCCCTGGCCAATTCTTGGATGGGGACAGTGCCGGACCTAGCAGAAGACAGCAGTAACGCAGCAGAGCGAACCTTGATCATAAAAAAGAATGTAGCGGTGTTCATATCTAAATGTGATGCTGAAATATTCAAGCTTTTAAAAGCTTTGTGTGCGCCGGAGAATGTAGCTGACTCGAACCATCCTAGACTGAGGAAGTTGTTATTGGACCACCT